TTGGATACAATTGAACTATTCGTTAAGATGTATGAAATCTGTTGGTGAACGTTTGACCTCTTCAAAATCCTCTTATGGGGAGCATGTGAAGGGTGTGACAAAGTTTGAATGCATCTTTTGAGCTCTTAAAAAGCTTGATCCATGGGATAGAGACAGTCATAAATAAAATGAGTCTTTTATCTGAAACAAGTCACCATTTTTATTTGGGCCGAAGAGCCAATTCCATTTTCTTTACAAAAGGATAATATATATTTCAGTACAAAACACACATCCTATGAAATAAACAAAACCCTTTGGGACTGTCCTTGTTCAAAAAGCAGTTGTGATTAATTGTTTCCTTTGGGAGTAAAATAGATTTCCAAAAGTTTATAAAGACCTGGTAGAGGATCAGTTTCCTTTATCAGAAATACCTGACACCAAAAGCATCCTGGATTTCAGATTTCTTAAAATTTGGGAATAGTTTTGCATATATATCTATAATGGGATATTCAGCATCAAAATCTAAATATGAAATTTATTGATTTTTTATAAGCACCTTATATACATAGCCTAAAAATAATTTTATACAAATATTTGAGATATTTTAGGCATGAAACAAAGTTTGTCTGCACTGAACCACGAGAAAGCAAACATATCACTATCTCAGCTACCCGTGTGGACAGTTTTATATTTTGGAGTATTTTGGACTTCAGAAATCTTGATAAGGGATGCTGAACCTGCATACATCCAAGTAGTAACCAGGGATGACCCTGGTTAGCTTTCATGTTCACACAATACCTGGTGCCTTTAAGGCCATGTAGACAGATGGACAGCAAACAGGCAGGCAAAAAAAGCAGCATTCTGCAGGACACATTTACCAGTGGTTGTCCAGAACTTTAGGCTGTTAGCACAAAAATATTACTCTGTTTGTTTTTCTTAAAAGAATAATAAAATAAGCAAAGCAATTTTACCAGATACTTACAACAACAAGGTGGGGGAGAAATCTGCAATAGGCATATTCTGTGGTCAGGTCAGCAAAATGGAACTGATACCAATACCATGGCATCCAGTGGTTCAGGTGAGGTGGTGAGCTTTAGTGTTAACTTTATTGGAGCTACCCAAGGTATTGAACCCAATAGCTAAAATAAGTTCAGCACCTTATATAAGTCATTTAAAGTTCACCCTAAAACCCAGAGTGGAATTGCCATTCCATTGAGATGGAAGTCAGCCGTGTCGTTGTATCAATATTTAATCACAACACATCAATTTCCAGAGCTTGGAAAGAACATGATGAAAGTAGTATTGGTAGTTGTCCTTCTATTTTTAAAATAATATTTTTAACAATTAACTTAACAACTTAGGTTCTTGTGGGTTTTTTTCGGGCTATAGAGCCATGTTCTAGAGGCATTTCTCCTGACGTTTCGCCTGCATCTATGGCAAGCATCCTCAGAGGTAGTGAGGTCTGTTGGAAGTTGAGGAAAAATGGGTTTATATATCTGTGGAATGGCTGGGGTGGGGCAAGAGCTCTTCCCTGCTGCGTGTGAATGTTTCAACTGACCACCTTCATTAGCATTTGAAGGCCTGGCAGTGCCTGGGGCAATCTTTTGTTGAGAGGTGATTAGATGTCCTTGTTTGTTTCCTCTCTGTTGTTTTGCTGTTGTAATTTTTGAGTTTTTTAATACTGGTAGTCAGATTTTGTTCATTTTCATGGTTACTTCCTTTCTGTTGAAATTGTCCACATGCTTGTGGATTTCAATGGCTTCTGTGTAGTCTGACATGGTGGTTGTGAGTGGTCCAGCATTTCTGTGTTCTCAAATAATATGTTGTGTCCAGGCTGGTTCATCAGGTGCTCTGCTATGGCTGACTTCTCTGGTTGAAGTAGTCTGCAGTGCCTTTCATGTTCCTTGATGCGTGTCTGGGCGCTGCCTTTGGTGGTCCCTATGTAGACTTGTCCACAGCTCACCTCCTGCCGAGGTGAGAGGATCCCTCTTGTCCTTTGCTGAACGTAGCATTTGTAGGAGTCTACCGTATACCATGCAGCTGTGGACAACCAGGCACAGATTAACACCTCCCAGCAACAGATTTTCCCAGGCTCAGGCAGGCCTTCAAATGCTAATGAAGGTGATCAGCTAAACATTCACACCTAACTGCAGCAGGGAAGAGCTCCTTGCCCCACCCCAGCCATTCCACAGATATATAAACCCATTTTTCCTACTTCCAACAGACCTCACAACCTCTGAGGATGCTTGCCATAGATGCAGGCGAAACGTCAGAGAAATGCCTCTAGAACATGGCTCTATAGCCCGAAAAAACCCACAAGAACCTAGTGATTCCAGCCATGAAAGCCTTCGACAATACATAACAACTTTGTTGTTAATTGCTTTCATGTTGTCTTCGATGTATGGCTCCCTTCTGAATGAAAGACCTCCAAAAGCTCTGGTTACCCTCTGGACTTGCAAAGACAAGGCCATGACTTCTTTGATTTGATCAGTCCAATTGTAATGCACAAATTTGTCCAATAATAGGCCAATTTTACTTGCTTCTTCATAACCTATGTGTCAAATACCACCATCAGAATATCATACCCAACAGAGTTCTCCATTTGCATACTTGGGTACCATCTGTTGTGCAAGTATCACCCTGTCAACAGGTTTTCCTCTGAACTGGTAACTATAGGATTGCTACCCAATTTGCATAGAATTTTTTTTATTGCTCATACTGCTGCTGATCCTGCAGCTAATAAGATAATCTGTCAATGGGAATATACAAACCGCATGAATATATATATATATTATTGCTTGGTGACACTGTGGGCTGATGCTTTCCCCAGTACAAAAGTGGAGGGAAAGTAGAGGAATAAGTTAAATAAATAATCACTAATAAATAATCATGGGGCAAAGGCACCACAAAACAAAGAAAAGGGGAAATCCAACTTCATACACACATTTGTCCCCACATTGCTATAAACCCTTCAACTAATTATTTCATGAACACCACAGGTCATTGAAGCATTTTTCACATTTCATGTGAAACAAAATGGAAACAATTTAAAAAATCTAAATAAATAATAAATAAAAGGACTTAAGACATGCCATTTCTTGGTTATTTGTGTTCCGAAATACCGGTCTTGATGAGAAACAGATATCTGACATTTGCTTGGGTTCCACCCAATTTAATTGAAAAAAATAGACCATAAAATCTGTATTCAGTGTTAATGGCACATGGGGCTCCATGGGATAAGCATTATCAACCTTACTTTTTAAATGGCTGTATCAAAACAAATAGAAATCATATCTGAAGGTGGGACCATCAATAATATAAGGTCAACATTCTGGGAAATTCAAATAGCCAGCCCTGAAGGCTGAGCTGGGCCCCGAAACTTGAATCTATCACAAAATCAGAAATTACAAAATACATTTCACATTTGCTGGATGGACGGGAATAATAAAAGATCTCTTGAACATGTATTGTGTACCCACAGCTAGAGCTCAGGCTTTGGCTGCATGAGGAACTCTGGTTGTTCACTTTAAATATAACACATAGGGAAAGGAGGATTTTGTTGTCAGTGCTGGAGGATGAAGTCCATTGCATTTGAATATTTACAAATTTGCCACCAGCATGTTAGAAATGTATAATTTTCAATTGGTGATTGCTGAGAGAAAAAGGACATCATGTGAGAACCAAAAACCAACTCCTGGACATAGGAAGAGAAGTGAGTTCATTGCTCCATTGGAATGATGACATCATCTACTCAAATCAACTTCTTTTGTGTATATTTTGAAGGGAATGGCTGCTTTGGGTCTTCAGATGTGATGTTTCTGTGGCATCCTAGCAATTACATCATCATCATTATTATACTGAAGTCAGTAGGACTAGTAATGTTGCAATCCACACAAATATACACAAGCTAGCCATTGGTGAAGCTGGGAAATAATTATATTTTCTGTTGGAAGTATAGCAGCTATTTGATAACAGTTGAGATTATTATTTCTCATGGTGTGACTCAAACTGCATTTCAGAACATCCTGTAGCACGGGTTCTTTTTTTCATGTGATTTGTGAGCAAAGATGTTGCTTTCTTTACAATCAGAATAAGCCATTTCATCAATTAAAAACACTTTGCTATTGCCAGTTCCAGATATTGTGTTGCTCTGCTTTCATGCTTTTGTGTTCATCAAAGCCCTTTGGGATGAAGCCATAAAGTTGCCTGCCCTCTCCATTGTCTAATTCACCAGGAGGGAACTGTGGCCATCTAAATAATTTTGGAGATGGTTAACATTCAGTGACCATTACGGTTAATTAAATCAGTGGCATGTGGGCATGAAATTAACATTGGTCCTCCCCGCCCCCCACCCCCAATCCTGCCCTCATATTGGCTTGGAAGAGAAAGGAGAGAAGATGGGGAGTCTCCTGTGTTAGGATTTCTGGGAGTTGAAGACTAAAACATCTGGGGACGCACAGGTTGGAACCACTGGATTAGAGAGTGCAGAATAGGCAGAGGTGGCATCCATAGTTTCATCAAAATAGACAAATTACTAGAGTTCTCGGCGGGGGGAGGGGGGCTGGAACTGCTCTCTTTCATTGAATATCTTCTACCTGAGATTCTTAAATAATAAATTAGTATTAAAACAGTAAAAAAGAGCACTGAAGACTGGGTGGATAGATGTTGGGTGATAGTATAGGAATTGGCCCACTGGCATTATGTACTGTGGACTGCCATCTTTTGCTGTAAAGTTAGCTAGCTTGATCCTACATGAGGAAAATATATGTTTGCATTACATGTAACAAGGGTGCTTATAACCATCACAATGCTCTGCAACAGTTATTGTCTCCCTTCATCCTAAATAACACTAAGAAGGACATTTTGAGATGCTCTTTACAAGTGGGAACCAGCCTAAAGGCCTATTAATTTAGAATCACAAAACTAATATTTGGGATTACATGGATGGAGGTATGGCAAGTTTGGCTTTCCCCCTTCTTCCCAAAGGGCTTCCCATGAAACCAATGTGATACTTATCTTCATAAGGAGCAGAACAAGTCCCCCCTCCCAAACGTATTAATGCTACAGATGTCACACCATCTCTATTAAGCATCAGATGCCTTTTTATCCTGGAGCATATTTTAACTTCTTGGGTCATTCACTGAATATTGCATTGAGCTGAGCCCCCACAACATGGTGAGGATAGGAGTCATAGGTCATATCTATGGGGATGTCATACCTGGGCACTGTGGTTGAGAAATGAGAGCTGTGCCCATGAGCATTGCCCAGGGTAACAGAAGGATAGTGTGTCATGAAGCTATATGATTTTTCCAGATCAGGAGACCCATCTTGCTTGAGGGGAAAATTCCCACTGATGCTCAGAGGGGGTGTCAAAGGACCCTCATAAGATGGAGATGTGCAGTCTGGGTGGTGGTTGCCAAAGGAAGGATCCACTAGGCTTTTAAAGCTTGGTGGCTTTAGATGGACAAGATGGTTTTCCATATTCCCATAGGGTGGACTGGGCAGCCCTGGAGACTGGTAGGAAAAACTGTGAGAGGGCATCACTGAGTCAGAAATTGGTGCTTTCTCCTCATGTTTCTCCAAGAAAACGGACTGAGGTCCCAACTGTAGACAACCAGCAACCAGGTTACTAGTTGGTTGGGACAAACCTTTGCACAGCATATCCACAAAACCTTTGTCTTCTGGAGACTGTCCACTTTCTAGTACTTCTGACAAAGCCCAGATGTAGTTCCTGGCTAGTCTCAGTGTCTCAATTTTGGACAACTTCTGGGTCTTAGAGTAGCAGGGCATCACACGCCTCAAGTTATCCAAAGCATCATTTAGCCCATGCATACGAGTTCGCTCCCGTGCGTTAGCCTTCACCCGGCGAGCTCTGAACCGCTCCAACCTTGCCTTGGTCATCTTCTTCTTCTTTGGGCCCCTTCTCTTTGGCTTCCCACCATCTTCTTCCTCCTCTTCTTCCTCAATGCTGTCATGTTCAATTTCATTGAGGCTAGCAAGAATCCCATAGGGTGTTTGTCTGCTGTCTTCCTCCTTCATCTCATCTTGGGAACTGAGGGCTTCATCCATCCAGGGCTGAGAAGATATAAGGTCAGCCATCTCTTTGGGCTTGGTATAGAGCTTGGCCATCCCTTTAACCTGCAAAAACAACAGCCACAAATTCCAAATAAATGAAGGAATTGTCACATCTAGAAAATCCTTTTAAATTGACAGGTAAAATACTATAAACATCACTCTGTGATGTGCTGCATTTAATGTATTATCCATTTCAAACCTGCTTGGGGCCCTTCCACACAGCCCTATATCCCATAATATCAAGGCAGAAAATCTCACATTATCTGAGTGTGGATTCAGATAACCCAGTTCAAAGCAGATATTGTGGGATTTTCTGCCTTTATATTCTGGAATATAGAGCTGTGTGGAAGGGCCCTATGCCTCTCCCCCTGCTTCTAATCTTTATTCCACTTTTCAAAGTGCATTCCAAAAATGTAATTATCATATAGCCTTGGTTATCTATAGCCTTGGTTATGTCATGAGGTACTTTGTAAAAGGAGGTATCCAGTAGCCCCTTGTAAAAAGATACTACTCCTCCATTACAACCAAACCTTGAAGACACCAGGATGATATCTTTATTCTGAGGGCCCTTCCACACAGCCCTATATCCCAGAATATCAAGGCAGAAAATCCCACAATATCTACTTTGAACTGGATTATCTGAGTCCACACTTAGATAATGTGGGATTTTTTGCCTTGATACTCTAGGATATAGGGCTGTGTGGAAGGGTCCTTAGTAGTAACTGAGAAGCTGTGGAAGATAATCCAGGCATATTATGGCTGCAGCTGGCCAGCTAGTCAGCTGGTCAAATGGGAAGAGGAACATAGAGCATACCATCTGAGATTGTGCTGTGCATTTGTGAGGATTCTTTCCTTTTATTGAAGCTGAGAGATGTCCCCATGCCCTACCCCAAGAAGCTGGAAATCTAGCACAGTAATGTTGGTAGACCAATACATTTGCCAACATTCCAGTTGGATCTGATCCAGTAACACACAACCATTGTAAATATGCCAAGAAACAATGCACAATATAAATGGAGTGCTCCAGTTATATAGTGACTCTCAAGGAAAGACTGAGAGAATTGGTTTTTTTTAAATAATGCTGCTGATTATACTTTACCACAATTCTGAAATTACTTTATATTCAAGTTGAAAAGAATGGGATATTTGACAAATCTACACCAAAATTTATTCATCCAGCTAGGCCAGGTCTTTGAGCATTTAAGTCTATCTGAAGACTTTGTTGTATTTCTTAAAGGTACCCTTCCATCTCCAATCGTCGTCTGCCATCTAAAATTTGTTTTAACAAATTGTGTGCTTTACGCCTCCAATCTACAACAACATATACTGTCAAGCACTTCCAGAGGAGCACTGGCAGATTTGAATGAACAATATGAATTTTGAAGAAGGAATACTTGAGCCCCTTCTACACTGCCATATAATCTAGGTAATCCACATGAACTGTTTTGAACTGGATTATATGAGTCTACACTGCCATATAATCCAGTTCAAAGCAGATAATCTGGATTTTATATGACAGTGTAGAAGGGGCCTCAGATGTTGCTTGCTATTGCATTCCTCTGAACACAGTCTAGAGTATCTGATTTTCTTTTCCTTCCAGGTACCAACTATTTATGTCCCCATTTAGCTTCCAAAATCAGATGGGGATATGGTGCTTTCAGGGCATTTGGACAACATGATTGTAAACTGCCGTGACTGTAAATTGCTAAAACTGTGGGAAGCTAAATGATTTCAGGGATTCTAGAAGTTGTAGTATCAAACAACATGTTTTTAAAACTCTGCAAGGAGATAGGATAAAACAATAACTACACCTCATTTGAAGTTAGTTATTGTAAAGGACCATAGATCAACTGAAGTCAGTGGGATATATTATCCACAATTAACTTCAATATAATTGCTTTTATGGGGCTGTAGATGCCCTATAGTATCATAATCTCAATGTTCAGGATTCTGTGAGGTTAGTGTTCAAAACCTATCTTAGCCATGGAAACCCGCTGGATGATTTTGGGGAAGCCTTATAGGAAAACAAAGGCAAATCTCAACCTGAAAACATCTGGCCAAGAAGTTGATAATGTCCCTATTACTTGGAGTAACCCTGAAGGTACATAAAAAGAGCAACTAATATATTGAAACCAATGGAAGAACATGGTTATGACTGACTTAAATTCCAGTGCTTTTAATGGAAACACATTACTTCAGGATTACCCAAGTACAGTGTTCATAAGCTACATTTTAAAGATCCCTCAAATTGCTGAATGCTGAGGAAGAAGTGCCTATCAAATGGCATCTTCAAATGTCTGCATTATACATTAACAAGCTTGACGTGAAACAAAATATTGCTTTGTGGAATACTCCTGTTTAGAGCTGTATTCAGCCATGTTCTCATCCAGAAAAATGTATTCCACACAGATCTCTGTAGTCTGCTGTTTTCTTTGGTCATTGAACAGGGCTGTTTTCTTTCTGCCTTCTCAGGACTTAGAAGATATTTTTCCACTTCTGCAAATCATGACATATGTCTGTCAGACTCTTCTGCATGAAATATGTTGTTTTGATTGCTCTACTTGGAAATTGTCTTTATTATTAGCATACAAGGCTTGGAATGAGAAACCAGAGGAAATTTGGTGGGGTTGATGAATATTTGCAAAATATTTATTACACATCCATCTCATGGGCATACCTTTAAGACCTGCAACTGAGCAACTGCTTAGTTCATAACAAGTACTTCTTCCAAGCCCTCTGGAGGTAGAAGTATTGGTGGTAGATGTTGGGCACCACCACTTTGGCTAATGTTCTGCTTGGACTTTCCTAACCTGAGTTCTTTTCCTGGTATCCTCTTTTACCTCTGGTGAATAATGGATGATACAAGAATGCTACAGGAAAGGAAAAAAGACCAGCCTATGTTTCATGATAATCAACTGCTTGTCAGCTTGACTTACTCATTTAATAAAGCTTAATGTGTAAGCAGCTTTGTTGAAAATGTGCCATCCAACTAATCGGTCAACTGGCTATCGCCTCATCCTTTGCAGCAAATCCTACTTTTAATATGCCTGATGGGACTCGTATAATGGATTACAGTGATAATTGTTGTACAAATGGGGGATGTATGGTTTGAAGCTACAAGCAGAGCCCAATTATGTCTGTACAATTATAATATGAACAATCTAGCCATGTGCTGAAAAGGGTTGGGGAAACAGGTACATGTCTGCACCTGATTTGAGACAGTCAGATGTATAAATCCTGGAGAATCAGTGTAGTGTAATGGGGAGACTCTCAGCTTTGGAACAAGGAGATAACAAATTCAAATCACTATGCCGGTATGAAGCTCACTGAATAACCCATTCATCACATCTAAGGCCCCTTCTACACAGCTGTATAAAATCCCACATTATCCGCTTTGAGCAGTGTGGACTTAGATCAGTGGTTCTCAACCTGGGGTCCCCAGATGTTTTTGGACTTCAACTCCCAGAAATCCTAATAGCTTGGCTGGGATTTCTGGGAGTTGTAGGCCATAAACATCTGGGGACCCCAGGTTGAGAACTACTGACTTAGATAACCCAGTTCAAAGCAGATATTGTGGATTATCTGCCTTGATATTCTAGGTTATATGGCTATGTGGAAAGGACCTAGGTCTATCCCACTTTAATTATACCTTGGAAGTGAAATCCAAGCTGGTGGTTTCTAGGTCAGTGAGACAGTGAGTCTAGTCCTGGGATAGGCAAACTTCAGCCCTCCAGGTGTTTTTGGGCCCTTCCACACAGCCCTATATGCCAGAATATCAAGGCCAGAAAATCCCACATCTGCTTTGAACTGGATATGAGTCCACGCACAGATAATGTGGGATTTTCTGCCTTGATATCCTAGGATACCTCCCATAATCTCTAGCAGCTGGTACAGTTGAAGTCCAAAACACCTGGAGCGTGTTTGCCTACACCTGGTCTAGTCAGATTGTAGAATGAATGTTATTTTAAGCAGCTATCCAAACGGCTGAACCTATTCAAAGATAGAGGGCCCTTTCACACAGCCCTATATTCCACATTTTCTGCTTTGAACTGGAATATATGGCAGTGTGGACTCAGATAACACAGCTCAAAGCAGATATTGTGGGATTTTATGCCTATATATTATTATGGGTTATATGGCTGTGTGGAAGGGCCCAGAGTTCAGCACCTTAAATAACTCCCTTAAGCCTTGAAGTGGAACCCTCATCAGATTTCACTCTGTCATTAGAAAAGGGAGAATAAAAATTAGGAATGGTTCAATCAGTTCTGCTCTTTTCAACATTAAGATTTAAAAGAAAACCTCAAACATTTTTTTTTATAAAAAAGGACCCTCAACTGAGTTCTAACAAGTACAGCAACTAACCTACAGCCCCAGTGACCAATTGCTCCTATGTGTAACTTCTCTTCTTGTAACAGGAGGTGTGTACTGAATGGCAATTGTAAAACCACTGCTGCATCATGTTTTCAGTGGTTAGAAGGCAACAGCAGTGATCAGTTATGATGTCTGACATGCAACAGCACTATGAAGAAGGGTATGAATAGAAATGGAGGCAAGGTGGTGCACCCACCTTATTTGAATTGCGAGCTAAACCTTCTTTGAACAGAACTTCTTAACCATATATTTATTGAATGAAACAGGATTTTATCAGATGTTGCAGTCTACTTTTATGTAGCTCCATTAATAATGATAACCTAGAAAAGATGGGAAGAGGAGATACTAATCTGAAGAATCCTCAGAAAATAAGACAGGGGCTCTACGAAGTGGTGCTGCTCAGATCTGGGAATTGGATAAACAAACCACTTTACACAGTGTTGCACATCCCCACCCCACCCTGTATTGACAAGGCTTGGGAGTTCTCCTAGATCCATCGTTAAACTTGGAGACCAAAGTGGACTCTGTGACACAGAATGCTTGACACCCACTCAAAACGATCCATTAGCTCCAGTTGTTCATGGACAGGGACATCTTAGCCACAGTAAGCCCACATGCTGGCAACTTTCCAGTTAAACATTCACTACATGGGGATTACTTGGAAGGCAAGGCTATTGCAAAATTCAGCAGTA